CATATAAAATATAATACTATTAAATTATTTCATTATGAATTAAAATTTTATTAAATTTTTTTAATTTTATTTAAAATTAATTTACTTATTGTATTATGAAAAAATCTTTTGTTTCCTTTTTAAAGGCAACAACCTAGGCAAACAAATAACATTTTAATGTAACTGTGTGCTAATATAAAGTTTAAAAAGTTTATTTATACATATTTTGAAAATGGTTTTCTTGCATAAATAGTAAAATAAATTTTTTAAAAATATAATAAATTTATAATAGTGTAATGTACTTAAACATAGTGTAACTAATAGTTATACTGAAAGAGCAAGAAGAAAAATAAAAATGTAGTATTTTATTAGCATCATCTAACTTCATTTTCTAATTGTCATTTGGTGTTTTCTCTATGAAAGACTATTGCTATATAATATGCTAATTATTAGATGATATCGATCATATAATTTATCCTATGTTTGATATATTAAAAAGTAAGAAAGATTTATAAATCAAGCTACTCTAAACCATTAATTAATTCACCATAATTACACATTGGACTTTGAAGTTAAGAGAAATCATAGTTCAATCAAAGACAACAATATTTAAAGCTTATAAAGTAGTGATGATACTTTGTAAACCTAAAAATCAAGAAAAGAATAGAAATCCATCAAAGAGAAAAAGTAGTATGTGGAGTGATAAATAAACAGAATGCAGTAGATTCTTAAATGGTTAAGGTTAGGATTACAAATAGTACTTAAAATTAATCATAAGCCAACAAAGAATTTCTAGAAGCCTCCATTTCATAGCACCAGTAGTCAAAAAGCATTCTCTGCATTGTCATAATCATTCACTGGATTGGTGACAAATGCATGCTTGTACCAGGCCACGGATTGCATAAATTTTGGCCTAGCGCTGCTAGAATCGCGTGGTGCTGGAGCACTGACAGAAGCTTGCCAAGCAAGGGCCTTGTCACTAGGACCACTGCTGGTAACCCGATCTAGGATATCCATTTGCACAGCCAGACGGCATCGCTTGAGATTCCTTGAAGTTTGAATAGCAGTTTCGGGTGGCTTTGTTGGCGCGCCTTGGATCTGGAGCACAACATATGAACGTTGGAACCCCCTAGAGGGATTTCCTGGAAGTCTAACCATTTTGGTGGACTTTGTAATTCATAGGTCTCACAAGAACGCACCGTACCCAGCCGATGTTTTCTGCAATCTCCGCTTTCGTTCAAACGGAAGGAACACAGATTGTGCAATAGTACTCAATTGAAAACAAACGATCATATGGACCATACGTATGTGCCGTGTTATTTATAGATAAAACGAATCAATGAAAATCTAGTGCAATTTAAGAGTTTAAACAAAGAAACTTAAAGCACAAATGCAGCAGCGAATCTTTACTCAACGCATGTTTACGAACAAATTCAAGAGGAAGGAGCATAGATTCCTCGCAAGGCAGCGATGGTGCTCTCATTGAGAGACAGCGACGACGCAAGAACTGGAGTGGGGATCTCTGATCCAAACAAGCTCGGCCCCAGCAGCTGGAGTCCAGCCTCCTGGCTGTTATACACCACAAACGCAATAGCAGGCTCACTGCCAACGTTGTACAGGTAGTGGAGCAGACCCCTGGGAATGATGATCAAGTCACCTCTCTGGAGCGTCCGAGCAAACAAAACGTTGTTGGTGTCCACGAATCCGGCCGAGATTGTCCCCTCCGCGACGTAGACGAGCTCCGATGCTCTGGGATGGACGTGAGTCGGAACCACACCCCCGACGCCAAAGTCGACCCTCGCGATCGAGAGACCCATCGTGTTGAGGCCCGGAAACGTTGAAACTGACGCCAGAGTTGCGTTGAAGGTGTTTGGACCCTGCGTGTTGTTCATGTTCCTGAGGATCTCGGACACGAAGTCCTGGCCGGTGACTGCCGAAGGATTTCTGCATGATCCCGAGGAGCCGCTGCTGCTGTTGTTGGCGACGCAGAAGTCGAGAACTGGATCTGGATCAGCTGCGTTTGCCACGAGAGCCAGTGATAGCAGGAAAAAGCTGATGATGGGTGATCCGGAGGCCATTGCTTGTTCGACTGAAAGATATGCCAGAGCTTATCGATATATGTGCCTCGAACCGCCTATGCCGGAGTTTAAGTCGCATTTGGATGATGATCCTTGTCAAGGAAACACGCAGGCATTCCGCGTATGAGTCACTGACAGATCGATGGTGTGAAGCAAACCAACCGAGACAATTTAGCATTCTCGAAGTCACTGTGACGTGTTTCAGCTGACAATAAAAGCCTCGAGTCTTCATTCAACAGAGAAGAAGCCTAAAAAAGAAATTTGATCATAGAACTTACTTCGAGGGCTGCAAGGTGCGAGTATCGAAGTCAAACACCCTCGACTTGTTGGTGAAGTAAAGCCCGAAAGTACCCAGTGATGACGGCTGCAAATCCTCGTTGAACAGCGAGTGGATAAACACTTCGATCGGTCTGTCACGGACCAGAGGGGTCCCCGCACCCGAGAGACAAAGCCTTGCAACGTGTTGATTGTAAGACCTTGACTTGCGAACGCTTGCTCCACTTTTTCCAGTGAACGGCCACCCAGTCTCGGAGACAGCCACCTGGAACAAGGACTGTCACAAGTTTAGACGATTTGCAAACCGTAAGGAGTCAGTCACCTGTATGTCACTGAAACCGAAATTATCAATTGCCGAGTAAACCGCGTCCAGCTGAGCCAAGAACAAATTCTCGTACCGTAGCCTGGAAATGGGATCGACGACCACGAAGCCAGTGGGTTTCAGCAACGCGAATGACTCGGGAAAGTTCCGACCCTTGTCCTGCTGAAACGTCGAGAAAGTGTAAATGTTAACCATAAAGGGAGCACCCGTTTTCGATAGAAACTGTAACAAAGGTCTGACGATTGCTTCATGGTCGAAGGAGCATAGCGACGGCGGAGAAGTCATGTTGAGAATGTTTAGCGAGTGAGTAGTAGAGACCTTCACCTGTGAGTCGATTTTTAGAGTAGCAAGAGCCGAATGTATGTTCTCCATAGCAGTAAGGAGATATGGCATAATATGCTGTCCAGCCGTTAACACCTCGTAGCCAACCAAGATAGTTGTGACCTTCGTCTGCGGATAAAACAATAATATGGAGCTGTTCACCCAGTTCTGGGCCGTGCTGATGTTTGTAGCAAGAGCCGGTATATCGTTGTTAGGAACCGAGACTGTCAGTTCGATGCTTGTGTTGGCGAAGGCCTGCAAAACGGTCGCATCAGTGTCGTAGATCCTAACTTTTGTCACCCCGAGAGATCGAACAAGCTCGACAACCTCCCCAGGCGAAGGAAGCTTTGAGGCTAAGCGGCCATAGTTAACACCCACAGTCCCTGCAGCTGGAGCAAAGCGTTACGACATCAGCCATGGAAACTTGCGATAAGACTGTACCGGAACCTGGAACGGTCGGCGCCACGATCATAATGAACACCAGCCAAAACCAGAGATCCATGCACCAACTAGAGCGCTCCGTTCCACCCCGTAATATATCCTCGTGATCTCCAATAGAAAAGAAACTTACCAGCGAGTTAGGAACTTCATGCTTGCTACGTTAACAGAAATATGCAGATACTCGGAGTGGCATCCTGTCGGACGAGCTGCCCCACCCCCTAACCTCCTAAACCGCTAAATTCTAATGCGAATCCGGCCTCACGATCTTCTTTTTTCTGTGCCCATTGTGGCTAGTACCTGCAAGCCCATCGCCCTTGTTTCGTCTCTTAAAGTCTATCACGTAAGTGCCGTCGTCCCGCTCGGTTTCCAGAGTAGTATAGTCCTCTTCTTGAGGCGATTCTGGGGAGAACTCTCTCCTCTTTTTGTCGTAGTTTTGCATTTTCGGTCTTTTCGTAGGAGCTGCTATCCTGTCCCATACGCTAGGCTTCTGTTGGCGTCCGTAAGTCTCCGAAGAGTTTCTACAGTACGAGCTGGCGGCAGGCTGCTGGTATTCGAAGTGCCGACGTCCTTCAAAACTCCTTTCCCTTTCGGACGGATGCCTCGAGTACTTCGCATCCGAAAACACTGGAGAGTGCTCCCTCTTATACCTCTCCTTTGGTATCGTCTCTGGAATGCTTACTCCATTGAGTGCATGCCCGTTATCCAGAGCCAAACCATTGCCAACCGACGAATACCTGCTTGGCTGTCTAGTAACATCCTCTGGGTATCCATATGAGGCCTTTCTCACGTCAGAACTATAAGTTGGCGCGAACTCTCGGTATTCCGTTGCTGGCTTTCCCGTTGCCATTACCTGTGACATTGCAGGAGGAGCCAGAGCGGTCATTGTGGGTGGGAGATAATCCAACATGTCCGAAACTAAAGCCTTCTTGCTAGCTAGCCTGTAAGAACCATCTTCCATCGGATCCATATTCCGGACCCTGTCCCCATTCCCCATCTCATCATATAGAGACGACCCCTGTCGACCGTAAAAGCTCGATCTAAAGTCTGCGGACATCTGCAAAACGCTGCTGTCCGGTTTCCAGTATCGATCTGCGTCAGTGGTTAAAGCTGTGGTGGCCTCTGGTCTCCCGATACCGTAGCCAAGAGCGTCGCATTTCGAAGAAACGCCAGCATATGAAGAAGGAGCACACTGTTGCCCGGGTCCCAAAGTATCGCCATAGTCGTAGTCGTTGGGCCTCGCGCTACACCAAGTATCCGGCTCAGATCTCTGAGAAGGTGCAAACTTGGCTGCGCTTGCGCTCTCGTAGTATCTTTCGTGTGGTACGTACGAAGTCCGACCAGCAGGCTCCTTATACTCGTTGTAAGTTGGATAGTTAACGCGACTAGGCCCTTCAACGTACGACGTCTTGGAAACCTGCTGCTCAGGCTCATTCTTCCAGTGATCATCCCTTTGATGACGATCACTGCGACCGCTGCGGTAAGTTCGACTATCGGTTGGCCCCCTAAAGTCCGAGTAAGCGTCATCAACTGAGTTGGTTCCAGCTGAAGGAGGGTAGTGAAAACTTCTTGAGCCGCGGGGCACGTCTGCCGGCATGAACAGCCTCATGAGCTTCACCACCTAAGAAGCAAACGAGTCAGACGCGGACTAAGAGACCAGTAAATACTAAAAAAATCCAAAAGTTGTCGTTGCTTGCCTGTTCCTTAGATAGATCAAACTTGAAGCGATTGTTTTCGTAGTAGTTTTCGAGAATCGCATCCTTGTATTCGGTTTCACGCAAAGGTAGGCACTTTTCCACGACACGGAACCGCACCTAGAAGCGAAAAGACCAATTAAAAAGTCCGAAGAATGTTAAAGAACAAGAAAGAAGCTTCATACCTGGAGTGGAAAATCGATGTCCGCTTCTATGAAGGCTTTCGGCTCCAAATCCACCCCCACATAGCTCACGGCCTCAAAAACCCCGTGAAGCTCTCTCGACTCAAACTCAAACAGGAAAAGCTTCATTCCTGGAGTGATGTGATCCGCGAAACGCTTCTTGGTCCTCGGCATTCCAAGCACATTGTAAGCGAGGCACCTCCTCTGCGTCTTCTTGTTGCACATAAAGATCAAACCCGCTATTCCCGGCTCGATTCTACTACTGCCCCCCGGATCCCTGTATGGACTGCGCGGAGAATCCCTCCGATCGACTCGCGAGTCCCAATTCCCCTTGTAATCCCTGCCGTCGTGACCCTCCCTCTCCCTGTGGATTTCCAACCTACCTGGCCAGCTCGGGGGATAATCTTCGTAGCGCCTGTGACGCTGCTCCTCGTCTTGCCGATCGCTCCGCTCGGCGTAATCCTTGTAGGCATCCCTCCGCCGATGCATTTCCTTCTCCAGCGTCATCTTCCTCTTTTGCTAGAACCCTATTCCGTCCAGGGAAAATCCTAGCCGTTGGTCTTGAGTGCGCCTGTAAGGCGCCCGGCTCGAATCCTGCTAGATAGCTACGACGTGGACGGATCTCTGCCGCCGATCCTGCCAGCTCAGTGGCACCCTTCACGTTAACCATCTTGGCTTCCCTCTCTTGGCACTCTTGGCGCTAGGGTTTGATTGCTATCCTCCGCTGCGATGCGCGAGAGGCGGCCGCTCGGATCGATTCTCCTTTGATCCCTTTCATCTTTGTGTGGATCATCGCCTGTTCTTGGCTGCTGTGTGACTGTGTGATTGAAAGGTCGTGGCTTTTGGTGTGATCTTGCCTGTTCTTGCTGCAATATTTCGCTGTTGCATGCTTGTATGCTCGACTGTTTAACGTGGCATCCTCCAGCAGCGATCGAAGCGCGCCGGTTCCAGGTTGGTTGGATTGCTAGAAATTTTCAGGCTAGATCATAGGCTAGTGATGAGCCCCGTGGATGCGCGTGACCGCCTCTCTCGGCGGCGCGAGGCGATGAGACGCAAGGCGGCAGAGGCGACAATGAAGGCCGCCTCGCACAAGATCCATCCCAAGGCGCACTGCTTACAGGAGAGCGCCAGCGCCAGCTTTGAGGGTCTCATTTGCCCGTGCAAGGAGAATTTGATCCATCCAGTCCAGGACATTCCATCCAATCGTCTCATAGCTCGTGTGGTGAGGCCGGGGATGATCCTCTTTCTCTTTGAGCAATCCTTGGGGCGGCTCTACGGTGTCTATCAGGTGGGAGCTTCCAAATACGATGAAAAGGTCTCTCATTCCTTTATTTACATTGTCTAGGCTAAACTAATCGTTGCATCTTTGTTTTCTTATAGATTTCTCTTCACGTTCAACAGCGCTATTTGCCGCTCGAAGGCGTGGAGCTTGAAAACTTCTTCTTAAACAATGATATAAAGCCGCATGTTGGTCCAGAAGTCCTGACTTCGTCACAGGTAGCTTCCCTTTGTGAACCAGCGTTGGCTTATTGCCGTTTCCATTGGCATGCCAGGTCTCGCGTCTCATAGATATGTTTGTCAAGCGTGCCGAGGCCGAATCACGTCTTTATAGTAATGGAGCTTTTGTAGCGGAACACATGTATAAGGATCCTTACGCGCGACCGAATCCTTACGCCTTCTTCTGTCCTTACCCGGAGGACGTGCACGTAGTTGAGAACCAGGGCGGTGATGGTGGTTACGTCCACGAGCTCGATGAGCCTGCTCACATCGGAATTCCTTACGCTCAGATGGCACCAACTGCAGTGCCTCACAGTCACTCTATGACTTCTGGCTGGAATTGTTCACCGATCGATTCAACGCCGTATGTCACCCATCCGATGAAGAACCAGGGAAGGATGGCTGATTCAACTCCAGTACAAGTCCTTGGCTACCCGAGGCAAGCGCATCTTGCTCGCAGCTCTGGACCTGCTTTTTTCAGCCCTGTAGCACACTTGGACCATGGCAACTTGGATGGGACGACAGCAGTAAGCCAAGGTGGCTACGGACAGCCGCCTCCGTATAGAGCTCACCATCACCATCCTGCGGAGGTCAGCTACCAGCCCGCTAGTCCAGAGGCTAGTGCCAAAGGATACGAGGATTCTCCTGCTGCTGCTAGTAGGAACAACAATGTCTTCCATCAGGTTGAGGGGGCACAAAACAGAGCTCCGAAGCAGGTTTCGAAGCTTCCGAAGTCCCTTAACCAGCATCCACGACAACAAAGAGTCAACTTGGCTTCGAACGGGCATCAAACACCGGCTCAAACAACGACCAAGGCTGTCCAGTCGAAGGTGTTACCTCAGAAGAGGCAGAAACCAACGAAGGACAACAAAAGTGTCTTCAACAGGATCAAGCCGGCGACTGTGTTCTCGCGATTAGGATCGTCTTCAGGAGGCAACGACACAATTCCAGCGACCGAGAAGGTGTTCCAAACGGGCGTCTTGGTTCCCGACAAATTCCGTCCACGGCCGCCGAGGAACCAGTCAAGGATGAAAGTTGATAATGTCGAGAGACCAGTGCCTGTTACTTTTGTCCAAGAGGACGACTCTGTGACGGGGAACAGCGGATCGATTGAAGATAGCTCCTTTCCCGTGGACTTCAAGCGTAGAGTTGTGAGCAGCAATGTTTCTTCTGCTCCTCAGTTGAAGAGGCGGAAGATTGTTCGTCCAGAGGGTCTCGGGTGCTCGTCAGAGAATGCCGCAAGCTTGAAGGGGCAGGAGGCACAGGAATCAGTAGAGGTGATGTCTCTCAGCTAGGTACAACAGTCAGTGACGAGACCATCGACGTTTTTCGTTTATTTTACGTTCTGGAGGATCTACTGTACAGCGTTAGCGACAGGTGGAGAAGCTCTAGCTCTCGGGCACACTGAGACATGGTTGGACGACGGGTATCATCGTCTCTGATGCAGTCAAAGGCGAGGCTGGCAAACCTTCTGATGGAGTCCCATTGCCACGGTAGCTCTGCTCGAAGTTCCGGGTCCAGGATCTTCTTCAGCTTTCGTTTCTCTCGCAGCCAGTCCCTGACCTGTTCGTTTCCAGTGGATCAAGACGGGCTTGTGGAAGCAGAGATTAGACTGTACCTGGGTGACAAGGTTTTGCTTCCGCAAGGTGTAGGTGGCATTAACAGGTCTGCGCCCAGTGAGCAGCTCCAGCATGACGACTCCGAAGGCATAGACGTCGCTTTTGAGCGTCAGTCTTCCGGTCTAGGAAGGAAATGCAAAAGAAGATCAGTTGAGCAAAGCAGCGGCACACAGGGACGACTTACTGCTGTGTACTGGGGATCAAAGTAGCCGAAAGTTCCGAGGACTCGGGTGCTCACGTACGTTTGGTTGCCGTAAGGCACCAGCTTCGCCAGGCCAAAGTCCGACACCTGGGGCAGCCGAGAAATTGGAGGCACTGCATTTATAGAGGTGGCAGGGCAGCGAGAAGATTACCTTTGCTTGGAACTTATCATCCAGGAGGATGTTGCTCGACTTGAAGTCCCGGTGGATGACTGGATTTCCGGTGGCAGGGCCATTGTGCAAGTACTCGAGGGCAGTCGCGGCTCCGCGAGCTATGGAGACGCGAGTTCTCCAGTCCATCTTCACTCTGACGATCCCTACGGGAAGAAGAAGAAGAAAAGAGGTTGGCCGGGCAAGTTTTCTGGTGGAGTTGTTTCTCATACCGTGGAGATGCTCTTGGAGATTGCCATGGGGCATGAACTCGTAGACGAGCATTCTCTGGCCTTTGTCCGCGCAGTAGCCGATGAGCTTGACAAGATGGGAGTGATCGAGGCGGCTCAGGATGTCCACCTCGACGCGGAACTCTCTCTCGCCTTGGACGCCTTTGCTCAGCGATGGCTCCATTTGCTTCACGGCAACGATCTAGGAAGAACAGCAGCAAAATGTTGGAAGGAGTTTTGGATCGAGCAAAGCTACCTGGCCGTTTTTGAGGACTCCTCGATAGACTCTCCCGAATCCTCCCTCGCCGAGGAGGTTGTCGGAGCTAAAGTTTGCGGTGGCGAGCAGCATCTCCTTGAGCGTGAAGATGGTGTCGACAATTGGTGGCAGCCTCACGATCGGTGGCAGTGGTGGGAGCTGCTGGAGGAATTGGAGCTCGTCGTCCCAGGTGGAGAAAGTGGAGCTCCAGTAATCGAGCGCCCTGTGCGAAGACCCTGGAGAAGGAAAGAACTCGATCAAGACGAGGGCGAGCGAGCAAAGATGGGCAGCTGCTTACATGAGATCTTTCGATTCGGGACAGGGGTTTCCTTCTTCTTCCTCCTCCTCGGCCATAGCTTGAAAATGGTGAAGACCGCCGCCGGCATTGGATCTAGCTCGAGCTATTTCTCCTCCAAGAACAGATGCGCTTCGCCATGGCAGGACTCCCGATCTATCTATCAGCAATGCTGAATGGATTCTATTCTATCATCATACCGGTGGTTTCGATCGAGGCGCCGCCACTGCTGGAAGGAAGATGGCTGGAAGATCGAGATTGAAGAACCCTACTCTATCGAGCAGAGGTTTTAGAACACCTCCTCGGAAGCTGGGAGATAGCTACTTAGTTGGAAGGCGGCAATGCATTTCAAATGGTCCTCTCTTTTTTTTTACTGACAGGTTTTTACCGCGGTTGGGCGAGAAGGAAAGGACAACGAAGTTTTTACATTTACACTGCAAACAAACACGCCATGCCAAAGCGTGAAAAAAAGAGCTTCCAGTAAAATCCATTCTGTCGTCGTCCAAGGGCGCGATTAAAGTATTCCCCGCATTAATTATCTAACGACCACGAGGATATTCTCTCCTAGAGAGAATATGCCCTTATTGTTTTGAAAATTTGAAATTTCTTTGGCATTGAAAGGTCGCCACGATGTCGAAAGACGAGTTGGATGGGCGTGATTAATATTTTTTTTCGGGTCGAATGCGATCGAAAAGTTTTCCAAATTCTCCAAAAGTTGGCTTTGGTTGGGTTGCAGTCGATCGATCGGGGAATTTGATGATCTATGGGAAGAACATCCCGAAAGGAATCCCACTGCCGGCTGCTCCAAGAGGATCCATGTCGTGGCCGAGAGCTTTCTTCAGCGCGGCCTCCACCTCTTTCATGGTTTTGAGGAACTCCTCGGCAACTTTGGTGCCGAAGACCTCAAACTCGGAGCTCACCGCCCGCATGGCCCGGATGGTCCCGTCGAGATCGGGGAGCCGGATGAACGCCACGCACCTCCTCGACTCGAGGAACTTGGTGTTGCCATCGCCGGGCGTGAGCAGAGTCCCATCCTCCAGGGCGATGTTGCTGAGATAGATCATGATCACGCTGGCCTGGAGCGTCCCCAGGAGCGCGCCGTGTTGCGAGAAGCGGTCGGTTTGGATCTGGTTCTTGCTGTCGATGGTGAAGTTGACGGGGCATTCGTGCTCCTGGCCCGTGTAGGAGAGCGGGTTTGGAGTGAAGATCTTGCACTGGTGGATGGTTTTAATGCCCGAGATTGGCGTGCCATCCCTGTGAATGAAAAGTCGTGTCAAGAATGGCATGGGCATGGATGTATAAGTCAGGCAAAACAGGCAAGAACCGCAAGAACACCAACACCAAAACTTAAAGAAAAGAAGGATTCATCTATTGTCAAAAGATAGTGGGAAAAACTAAAACTATGTGAATCTATCGAAGATCTTCGATCGTACCTGGCCAGCACCGTGAGAGGGTATGTCGTGTTCTCGGCCAGCTCCAGCGAGGGCGGAAAGTTGTAGTAGCCCTCAAAGTAGAAATCGCAAGCGTGAGATAGCAGATAGTACTTCTCCATTTGTGCGCACGTAGCATCTGCTGGAGTGGCGATCAAACAAATCAACAGCAGTAGCAGCAGCAGCAGGAGCGGCAGCAGCAGTGGTTTGATCCCTCCTCCCATCGAAAGAGAGGAAAGGATCGAGAGAAAAAAAAAAAAAGAAGGAAAAAAAAGCCTCCCAGTTTTTCCTCAATCTTGCTTCACGGCTTTCGGAGTCATGCACGAGGGAATGCTGGATTTCCTCATATCCTGTCGTGGACGCTCTTGGCATGAGCCGCATTTTGGGTGAGAAAGAGGTAGTACCAAACACAGATTTCTTCTTTCCAAAAGCTTCCTCACGATCATTTCCCTCGTATTATGAAACATTGTTTTTAATAAGGGCGTAAATAAATGACAAAAATATTCAGATTAAGAAACCTTTATTAATGAAGCATCTTCGTACCTTTATGTGAATATCCTTGATCCAGAATATCCATGGAGTAACCCAGAAGGTCAACCTTGCAATTTGTCTGTTTGTTTGCATATAGGCGAATAGTTTGGGAGGAGAACGCGGAAGGAACTTTCTTTTGCTGGTGAGACCTCCAGATCTCGCAGCATAGCCTTGTTTTTAATTCCACAAAAACGTCTATATGGTGTAGGTCATGGCGAAACCCATTAAAGTTCTTGCGAACTTGATTCCTTGGATACAAGCGCAAACAAAACCACCGCACAACCTACTTGACCTCGCCAGATTGCACATTTGACTTCACACAGCATGCGTATGAAAGTTTTTCTTGGAGATCTCTCAAGCATCCGGATCCCCGGAAATAAAATCTCAGAATTTTGGTGGTTTGTACTATCCGTAGGGCCTAGGACAAGATTCTAGCCCAACGATGAATTTCTCATCCAAGCACAGGAAAAATTCAAATATCACACTTTTGTGCCACCCCACCTTGAATAAAAATTTTTAGAGGACCCGGCATGGCCTCATGTAAAGAATCCAAAGCTTGGAAGTTACAAAGAAGCTCCAACATTGGAGAGGATCGCGGAAGAAAATTTCTTTTGCTGGTGTACTTGCGGGTACCCCTTCCCGTACATCGCGCCTCACGACAAGGGTTAGAGTCAAGGTCGGCCGTACACACGCCGACTCAATGTCAACGCTCGCGAGGGCTGCCACCTGGACGGCAGCGATGCCGCCACGTAGCGCGATTCGTTTTGCTCTTTAAAGAGGGAAGAGGAATCACAGGCAAGGAAGAAACGAGAGCTCGCCTCTTTCGGGAGCGAGCGAGCGAAGCATTGCCTCTCTTCCGAGGGTCCCAAGCTCCCCGAATGCCGGGAGCCACCGCCAGAGAATCGGCGTAGAGAGATCGATCCATCCGCACAGGCAAGCCGCGCAATTCTCTGTCAAATCTTGCAATTACGCCTCAAGATCGCGAAAAATCCACGATCGTCGCCAAGATCGTCGTCCATGGCATCCCCAGTGAATTCCTCCGGCGCCATCGAAATGCCGCAGCGATTCGTCGACATCGATCTCTCGCCGCCGCCTCCATCTCCATCGCAGCAGCAGCATCGCAATCCGGCTCCCAACTTCCGGCTCCCAGTGGATTCCGAGCACAAGGCCAAGAAGCTCGATCTCTTCTCCTTCGCGCAGCCCCACATGAGAAGCTTCCACCTCTCGTGGATCGCCTTCTTCACTTGCTTCACCTCCACCTTCGCGGCGCCGCCGCTCATCCCGGTGATCCGCGACAACCTCGACCTCACCAAGCTCGACGTCGGCCGCGCCTCCATCGCCTCCATCTCCGGCTCCATCCTCTCGCGCTTCCTCATGGGCCCGGTGTGCGATCTCGTCGGCCCGCGCTACGGCTGCGCCATCCTCATCATGATCACCGCCCCGCCGGTCTTCTGCATGCCGCTCGTCTCCGATCCCACCGGATTCATCATCGTGAGGTTTTGCATCGGATTCTCGCTCGCCACCTTCGTCTCGTGCCAGTTCTGGATGAGCACCATGTTCAACACCAAGATCGTGGGCATGGCGAATGGATTCACCGGAGGCTGGGGGGATTTTGGGGGCGGAGTCACGCAGCTCCTCATGCCGCTGCTCTACCAGCTCATCCTCAAGTTTGGAGCCAACGATTTCACGGCCTGGAGGATCGCCTTCTATGTGCCGGGGCTCATGCATGTGTTCATGGGGCTGGCGGTGCTGATCCTGGGCCAGGATCTGCCGGATGGGAACTATCGCGATCTCAAGGAGCAGGGCCACAAAACCAAGGACAGCTTTGGCAAGGTACGTAAGCTAGTCTCTCTGGATCTCGACTCTTGCTTGCCGCTAACTCTGTTTTGGCTTTGAGATTTTGTAGAGCAGAGAAAAGCTCTGTCCATGGGCGTCACTGCTCTGCTCTGATCTAGGAAAAAAAATGTTTCTAGATAAGTTTTGTAGCGTAGAAAAATGCATTCGATCATGTAGAGATGCTTTCACGTTTTTTTTACTTTTGCTCTTGGGCATCTTGACTTTGCTCTTCCTTGTACTAATTTTCTTACTTTTTCTACAGGTGCTTCGCAACGCAGCCAAGAACTATCGCACCTGGCTCTTTGCCTTCGTCTATGGCTACAGCTTTGGCGTGGAGCTCACTGTCTTTAACAACATCGCCGAGTACTTCTACGACGAGTTCGGCCTCCACCTTGGCACCGCCGGCATCGTCGCCTCCATCTTCGGCCTCGCCAACTTCATCTCCCGCCCCATGGGCGGCATCCTCTCGGACGTGATCGCGCGCTCCTACGGCATGCGCGGCCGCCTCTGGATCCTCTTCCTCTTCCAGACAGTCGGGGGACTCATGTGTGTGCTGCTGGGCTTCATGAACACCCTCGGGACTGCCATAGGCATCGTCATCCTCTTCTCGATCTTCCTCCAGGCGGCGTGCGGTGCGACGTTTGGGATCGTCCCGTTCGTGTCGAGACGATCGCTGGGAGTTCTCGCGGGCCTCACGGGGGGTGGCGGCAACCTGGGCGGAGTGGTGACGCAGCTCATCTTCTTCACCAACGAGACCTTCTCGTTCGAGGCCGGGTTTAGTCTCATGGGCGCCATGAGCGTGGGATGCTCGCTAGCGCTGCTGGGTGTCTACTTCCCGCAGTGGGGAGGGATGCTTTGCAGGGCGTCGAGCGATCCTGGAGCCACCGAGGAGGCGTACTATCTCGCCGAGTGGAGCGAGGAGGAGAAGGCCAAAGGGATGCACCTCACAGCACTCAAGTTTGCAGAGAACTCTCACTCGGAGAGAGGACGGATGCGATCGGGTGCGTCGTCACAACCTCAGCCCAGTGCAGTGGTCAACCCCATTCTATGATATATACCAGCTGTTGTTCTCTCCCTCGGGATGATGATGATGATGATGATGAATATAACTTCAATAGACTTATAAACTTAGTCCTGCTTCATATTAAAAAATTCTGGATGCAATGCACACTACTTAAACCAACACCAAGTACCACTTGTACACGGAGGAGATCAATCCAGACGAATTGCATGGCGCGACAAACTACTAAGATACAGAGCAGGGAATACCAAAACACACCAACTGATAGCTGCCCCGAAATCATGCATGTCTTCATCGTATAAGAGGCTCTGGAGCGTCGGAGTGCAAGACCCTCCCGGAAACAATGCCCGGACCCTACATGGGCAGCTAGCAGCTACACCGACGGCGGTGTGGACATTATAAAGGTCATATTGCCCATAACAAGCAAAGATTTGTTGACCGTGAAGTTATTCTTTCTATAGAGCTACTTTCATGGCTTCCACACTTTAGAGCAATTGATTCTTGATCATTTTTCTCTCGCTCAGCTTCAAGGGAGCTTTGTCACACCCAATTGGATTTGGACACAGCTACGCACAAACTTCTCCCAATGCGGAGCGGATCATCCGCGACATGATCAGTGATTATGCCAATCGCGATCCAACGGGACTGATACGCTTGCACTTTCACGACTCCTTCGTTAACGTCTCTCTCAGAAGGCGTTGTGAGTTTATCACAAATCCAAGAACGCTATCTACGATAATCGAACTCCAACAGATGGTACCAACGTCGAGAAGTTCTCCCTTCCAAACAACAATTTAGCTCGGGATTCCACAGAGAAGATTGGAGAAAGCCTGCCCTGGAGTGGTGTCATGTGCCGATACAATTGTCATTGCTGCCACTTTGAAATTTTCAATACTTTGAAACTTTCAAATGATTCTTAATGGTTAGAACGGGATTCGACAATCAAAGTTAGCATCTCTTTGTGTCAATTTTGAAAACATGTGAACTTTTCCTCTCGAATGATCATATGATCGTATAGATGGGAGGCCGGTGCAGTAGGCATGTAGGGGATCTACTCAAAGTATAGAGGACACATCCAGAAATGACTTACTGTAAGCTTGACGAAGTTCCAATTTTGCCATTTCCATTTTCATTTGTTGGTCAAGCTTGATCTAGATAGAGACAAGGAAAACTCTCCAGGATTTTGGATTCACGGGCTTCATATGTTCATAATATGTTTTGGGGTCTTTTGCCACCGCTCTACAAGGACATGGCTCCCTGTCAAAATATATCCAGAACACAGATTTTAAACACAAGATCTTCTAGAGGATAGGCTTTGCATTTCTATGGTGGCAATGGCAACAGCATCTTCAGCTGGTGGCAACGAGCCGTCCAGCGCTGTTGTATGGAACTTGGAAGACGAAGAAGAAATTTGTGACTTGCTATTGGTCAAGAGATCGCTCACAGAGCCATGACATTCTAGAATAGTCCAGAAGATTCTGAATCAATTTAAATTCATAATACAATTTTAGTTTTCAAGCAATCAAACTTACTGTGAATATGAGTCGCTGTTTGCTACATTACACACCTCTTAATGTTTCCCATCTTGGACTGCCCAAAGTCCAGCGTGCCAGGGGTGACCTAAAAATTCACCAGTCTGAGTTGACTCTCAAAGAGGTCTTGGTCAGAGGTGAGAAGAGCATTCCTCTGCTCCATTGAACTGGGAACCCCTGTCAAACTTGACTGTTTTCTTGGTGAAATCTCCTCCAGAAACTCGGGATTCACAATTCCATCTTGCTGGTGTTTTTGAAGTTCTAGATGGACGTGTGTGAGCTCCTGCCAAGAATTTGTATAATCCATCCAACCTGATCACAAGTTTTGGTTCCTGAAGTTTTTAGTGAAACCAAAGTACAATTTTGACGAAGTTTTAATACTTTCCTTTTTTACTCCTTTTTTATTTTTACATTTTTTTTCTTAATAGTCCACGGGACTTCATTTTTTAAATATCAGATGGATCTTCGAATCTTACTATTTAATGTGGAGGAAAATTATTTTTGTTTCTAAGTTGTTTATTGTACTATAAAGAAAGTTCAAACATGCATGTTAGAATATTCAATTTCGCATTATTATTTATAAATTTAACTTTTAGCATTAGAGTGATTTACGAATATGAAAATGCAGTTACTGTAATTTTAAGGCAAGAAGTTATAATGGAAGAAATTATAAAACTATGCAGGATTTTCATATGGCAGTCTAATACCACTTGAAGATGGAAGGATAATGAGTGTTTAAATTCTGAGAATAAACCATGGTATTATATTGATATGTGTAATATTTTTCCAAATTGGGTTTTTTCAAATAGTGCTCTACCAATATCAATCGAACTAATGGAAATAATGAAGAAATATGTATTTCGTGATGAAGTTACTTATGGTTTTGCTAGTTATACAGTTGAGAGGTATATGATCTCCTATGTTATTAATGATCCTCCCGATAATCTTTATAATTTCATAAAATTTCTCTAATCAAATTAAAGGAGTTGAGGTTTTAGAATACGATTGTGACTTATACAAAACCTGTATTCGAGGAGGTCCAAAATATACAAGTTTTTCTAAGCTTACTTCTGGGAATTTTCTCCAATCTTTAAATATATTTTATACCGTACACATGCACCATGATTGCAGACTAGTCATTTACCACGGTCCGCAGAAGTATGGGGCACCAAAACTCAAAAAAAAAGGGATGATTGACCTTTAAATAATACAAAAAAATTGTAATCTAGTAATATATGATGAGCATGGAAACGTGATATGGACATATAATATTTAATGGACAAATAAATGGCTTCCTTGTGTATTTTGTATAGATGATGACGGATTTGTTGCAGTTTATAACACTCAGGAACATGTTTTTATATGGAGGTCAGACAGTTAATCTTTGGTTTTTCCAGATTAGATTCAAAAGAAACCCACCTGTAATTAAATCCCAAGGAATAAAATCTCTAGTTTTTAAGTATGTTTAAAAATGTTTATAATATTGTTGATTTATTTGTAAATTTATATCTTAACTGTAATTTATCATCTGTGATTAGTTTAGTTTGTAGAGAATCTCTGAAAATTTTACTAATTCATTTGTAACAAAGGTTTAATAATAATTGTATAGAGTGGAAATATTGTTTCTCCTCTTTTTCTTTCTCTATATTTTCTTTGTCTTGTTAGTCATGCTTAGCACTAAGAAATTCTAGCTCAAAAATTAAAAGTTTTATTGAAAGAAGAGCAGATCTGTAAACATAAAATGAAATGAAACACCAAGCAGAAGTTAGAGTTTACTGTCTGGAATGCTGTTACATCTTCAGCAACACACTTTGCATTTGAACATTTTTCTTACATACACTAATTTGATTTCTAATTATTAATAAGTAATGCAAATGTAAGGTTTATAAGATTATATATGTATACTGCCTAGGTAATACATTAACTATAATACTTTAACAGATAGACTGTCCATTTGAGATTTAATCTAGTCCATCCATTTTTGTGTATAAACAAGGGTTTAAACCCTAATTAATACATTTGAGGGGCTTTGCAATTTGTCTTTGAAGGGCAAAGCTTTTTGGTAGTGCTTTGCTTTAGTGTTTGGGATCATGTTTTTTATTCTTATTTTTTCATTCTCTTTTAAATTTAGATTTATATTAGCTTTTTGTAAGATCTAGAACTCTAGCTATAGTTGAGTTTAGATTTACTTTCTCTTCTAGTCTTCATTATATTCTCTTCTTCTACGAGAGATAGCAAAACACTAAGAACAGGATAAGCTATGTAATCATGTCTTGTAGAAGTTGGAAATAGTGATACACCAAGGATGGGCATAGCACCAATATAAGCACACCCCACAGCACTAAATGTTCAATCTAACAAAGTAGCATTAGTAGCTTCAAGTGACATATTCCTTGATTGATGATGGAGTGGAACATGGTTATGGAGCATGATTGTGACATTGATTGGTGAACTATGGATGATACAATCCAGTTCTTAGAAAATGTTCAAGGATCGAGTTTATGAGAAGATGATATATATATAAGCTCAAGTAGATTCTAAATCATTTTAACAAACTTGATTATTATAAAGATAACTTTGGAAATGAAATGGAAATTTCATGGGGTAGATGTCAATCTTTCAATCTGTCATTTAATCTTTTCTCTTTACCTTATGCTTTTTCTTAACCTTTTCTTATTTGTTAATATGAGGCACTTTATCATATTTCTAATATTTCTTCCTCATTTGCAATGTTTTCTTCTCTTGGTATATTAATTATTTGTGATTTTTATAATTCTCATTCTCAATCCAGTGTTGAGTAAGTGTTTTATGTCCTCTTCATATGAATTTAAATGTTGCATATATGCATGAAGTTGAGAATCTTGCTTTTGTTTTATTAGTAAAGTCTTTAATCTGTTTCACGGATTGAATCACTTTGGCCAGAGTTTTAGGTTGAGTATATATTTTTAATTGTAAATGCCATTGAAAGCCTTTGTTTTATCGTTATTGTTGAGGAGTTTATATGTTCCTTTGAGAGTATAGACATTTTTATTGATTTTCCCATCTCAAATGTTAAGTTATATGTTAAGAAGGTTGAACGGTGTGAATCTTTTACTTATATTGTGGTAATTGAAGTATTTTATAATAGAAAGTCCCCTATTATTCAAGCTTTGAGCACATGTTTTTCTTTTGATTTCCCCATTTCTGCATTGCCAGCTACTCTAAATTCCTCTTTTGATGCTTCTTTATCCACGGTTTCTTCTTCTATAATTGTTTTTCCTTAATTTTTCTCATTTTTTCTTTTTTGCCCCAACATTTCAAACTTTTTTTTCTTCAGAAGAGGGGGTAGAAGGCATAGACAAGAGTCCGGAGTAAGGACAAGCAAAATATAGTAGTGGAGTGAGGACAAATAATATGGATTGTAAAGTGAGGATAAACATAATAAGTATGAACAAAACATTTAGCCCTAACGTAGTGAAGCCAAATGGATATAATAGTGGAGTGAAGCTAAACATAGATGGTAAAATAAGGATAAACACATCAAGTTTAAATGAACCTGGTGCTTTAAAAAAAAATTCTTTCAAGGAAG